CTTCAATTGGTGAAGAAGTCACCCCCCCTCCTTTCTCCTTCCTCCTACGTGCGCCTTGTCCTGCTCCTTCTATGCCTTCCTCGTACGTCTCCTTTATCCTTCTACCGTCAAGACGCTGGAAGAAGGACCGCTTCGGGCTCAGGCGGGGCGCGGGTCTTCTGGCCGTTCCGGAGGATTAGGGAGGAGGAGGAGGAGGAGGAGGAGGAGGAGGAGGAGGAGGAGGAGGAGGAGGAGGAGGAGAGAGGAGGAGGAGGAGGAAGAGGAGGAGGAGGAGGAGGAAGAGGAGGAGGAGGAGGCAGAGGCGGAGGAGGAGGAGGAGGAGGAGGAGGAGGAGGAGGAGGAGGAGGATTTTTGTCGTGGAACCTGTCTGTGGCCCAGGCCCGCCGTGGCCAGGAACGCCCCCTTCGTTCCTCCGCATGCGCTTTGCTCCCGCTTCCTTCCGCCGCTTCCCTCCATCTACGCTTCCTCCTCTTCCTTCTCTTCCTGCTTCGGCCGACCCGCGGCCATCGACGCGACGGGCTCCGTCGCGGTGGACGCTACAGGCGCGCCCACCCCGCTCGCCTTCCTGTAGGCGGGGAGACACGCGCCGCCCCCCCTACGCTGGGCTCCTTCTCTTCCTGCTCCTGCTTCGCCGTCCTTTTTCTGTCAGGGGGCCAGCGAGCAGCGGCAGGTTGCCATGCTGCTGTGTAAGAGGCTGTCCTGAGGCGCGGTCCATCTCCATTGTCCTCTCTTTATCCTCCCTCTCCTCGCATTCCTCTTCATCCCACTTCTGAGGTCTCTCTCCTTCCCGCCGCGTTCCCTCACACTCCCCCTCTACTGCCTTTACCTTCACTTCCTCCTTCATCCTCTTTCTTGTCCTCCTTCTCGTCTTCCTCCCTCCTGTTCCTCGCCGTCCGCCTTTTCAAACATGCGCACCCCCCTCCCAATCTGCTCCTCCTCCGCCAGCTCCCCTCCTCATCCCCCTCCTCCACCTCCTCCTTTTCCTCCTCCCCGGCGCCCTCCTCCGCCTCCTCATCTTCCTCCTCTCTCCTCCGTGTTCCCCTCCTGCCTCCTCCTTCTTCGCTTCCGCCTCCTCCCTCTTCCTCCTCCTCCTCCTCTTCCTCCTCCTCCTCCTCCTTCTCGCCCTCCTCCTCCTCCTCCTCCTCCTTCCATCATCATCAGCATCATCATCATCAGCATCCTCATCCTAATCCTCATCCTCATCCCCAGCATCCTCCGCATTTTCATCATCATCATCATCAACATCATCAACATCATCATCACCGCCGTCATCATCATCATCATCATCAGCATCATCATCAGCATCATCAGTGCCAGCGTCATCATCATCAACATCATCATCATCCTCATCCTCATTATCCTCATTATCATGATCACCCTCATCATAATCACATTCGTCACTGTCACCACCACCATCATTATCATCAGCATCCCCATCCTTCCCCTCCTCCTCATCATCAACATCATCACCCTCGTCACCACCATCATCACCAGCATCACCATCGTCATCGTCACCGTCATCATCACCATCATCATATTTACCACCATCATCATCATCACCATCATCATCATCGTCATAATTCTTATCAGCATCATCATCGTTACCATCATCATCAGCATCACCAGTATCATCATCACCACCATCATCATCACCGCCATCATCACCAGCGTCATCAACATCATCATCAGAATCAGCCCCGCCATCTTCAGCATCATCATCATAATCATCATCAACATAATCATCATCGCCAGCACGATCAGCATCATCACCGTCATCATCATCAGCAACACCCGCATCGTCATCATCAGCATCATCATCATCAGCATCATCATCATCTTTATCACCACCATCATCATCAACATCATCATCAGCTTCACCACCGTCATCATCATCATCATCAACAACATTACCATCGGCATTATCATCATCATCATCACCATCACCATCACCATCACCATCATCATCATCATCATCATCACCATCACCATCACCATCACCATCGCCACCATCACCATCATCATCATCATCATCATCATCATCATCATCATCATCATCATCTTCTTCATCAGCATCAGCATCAGCATCAGCAGCAGCAGCATCATCAGCAGCAGCAGCAGCACCAGCGGGGGCTGGTGCTGGTGCGTCGGTCTCGGACTTGGCGGCGCCCGCTGCTCTCCCCCGGTGGCCTCGGCCGCGGCCGCGGCGCCTCGTAGCCCGGGCTCGGCGGGTGGACCCGTGGTGCGCCAGCAGGCTGCGCTCTCGCTGGCTGACGTCGGGCCTCGGGGGCGGGCGCGGCTGGTGCCCGTGAGCATCCCGCAGGCGGGCCGTGGCGGTTCTCCCCCCTCGTGGGCCCTGCCGTGGAGGTCGTGGGGGGGTGCTCTGCCTCGTGGTGCCGTCGGGGCTCCACGTGGTCCTCCTCGCGGCAAGGGGGTCCAGGGCTGGTGTGGTCCAGCCCTGGCCACTCCGCTGAGTGGGATGTCAAACAGATCCTCCTCTTCCTCCTCCTCCTTCTCCTCCTCCTCCTCCTCCCCCTCCTCCTCCTTCCCCCCTGTGCCTTTTGAGGCCTTTGCCCCAATCGTGCTGTTCCCTCCTCCCTTGCCACCTCCCCTCCCCCCCCCCCCCTCCTCACCCGTTCTTCTCTCTGCCTCCGCCTCCGCCATCCCAGCCACGCTCGCCCATCTTCCTCATCTCCTCTTCTTCTCATGTCTCGCCGCCTTTCCTCCTCATTCCCCTCTCCAGTATCTCGCCTTTTGATGTGATTGATGTTGTGTTAAATGTATGTGCTGTGCGTGGTTTTGTGTTGTTTGTGTACGTTTACACGCTTGCGTGTAACCACCGATGTGTTAGTTGTTCAATTTGCTTTTGATTTCTGAGTCTGGCTTCCGAGCGGGAAATCCAGCATGTGATGTCACGCGCTGTTTCGCTTGGGTGACTACACATGTTACCTCGTCGGTTTTGAGGGCTCGACTGACTTCTCCCTCCGACACGCCTTGCCGACACGCTTCGCCTTCGGGGTTGAGTTATCTCAAGCTCCCCGTCAGGGTCAGGCCATCCGTGATCGCTTCGATGACGCCCTGCACTGGCTTTGACATTTGATCTCTAACCAGGTCTATCCGCCGATTGGACTAGGGGCGGGTTCCTTGCTCGAATCCAAATCAAAGCTCCCCGCTCGCCCCTCAGCATTGGGATCACTGCGCGCGAGAAGGGCGCAGAGCAAACCCTCACCTTCCAAGCAAATATTCGCTCGAGCGAAAAGCAGGGGCGAAGCATCATCAGCCACAATGATGGGGCTCGCACATAAGCGGAATGGCCGAGGGTGCAAGGCTTACAAGACAGGCCGCGGGATGGAAAGCTCAGGCCAGCACCCATCTCCAGCAGAGCTTTCGTGAGGCAGCCCCATGTCGCCCAGGATGGGCCTGTGGATAGGTGAGCCCGTGTCTCGAGGATCAAAAACCATACAATCCATCCCCCCCCCCTCCCCCCCCGCCTCGTCCCACGCGTGCGGGGAATGCGGTGCGCTCGATGCAGCCCCCGCCGCGGCGGGACCCGCTGCGGCCGTGGCTGTCGTGCCGCGAGCCTGGATGCCAGCCTGTAGGAGGAGGAGGAGGAAGAGGAGGAGGAGGATGAGGAGGAGGAGGAGGAACAGGAAGAGGAGGAGGAGGAGGAGGAGGAGGAGCAGGAAGAGGAGGAGGAGGAGGAGGAGACGGCGGAAGGAGGGAGACGGGATCCGCTTTCACGGAACGAACAATCTGGAGGAAGAGGACGGGATGATAATGAGGAGGAGGAAGAGGAGGACGAGGAGGAGGAGGAGGCGGTAGGAGGAGGAGGAGGAGGAGCAGGAGGAGGAGGAGACGGATTAGTAATAGTGGTCGTCGTCGTCG